TATTTGTAATACTTATTTAATACTGATATCGATTTCTTATTTTGTAATAATTGTTTATTTGCTTATTAGGCATTCATTTTGTATTATATTGTGCTCAGTGGTGTATTTTGACGGAACGCGGACACCCCCTAATTTAAATTTACCCACCCCTTCCTGTCACGGCTACACCTCTTCCTGTTAAAGACTAACACATGCTTTGACTTGACATACACACCCACTCACTGACCGGCACACACTCTCAGATACACTGACGTACACTCACTGACAGACAAACATACCCACACACTCACTGATTTGACACAATTTGACAGACACACACAATCACTGATTTGACACACACAATCACTCAGACACGCACTGAAATACACACGCATTGAAAGATACGCACACACTCACTGACAGACACACATACGCTGACAAACACACATTGACAGACATACACACACTCACAGGCATACACTGACACAGATTGACAGACATATAAACACACTCACAGGCACACACAGATAGACATACACACACATTCACTGACAGACACACACATTGACAGACGTACACACACATTCACTGACAGACACACACAAACTCACTGACAGACATACACAACTCACTGGCAGAAACCCTCATTCGCTGACAAACACAGTCACTGACAGACAGTAACACTGACAGATTTAAACACACATTCACTGACAGATAGGCAGACACATACACACACATTCCTTGACAGACAAACAAACTCACTGACAGACACACTCACACTGACAGATATAACAACACATTCACTGACAGACAGACAAACACACACACACACACATTTCCCCCCACAAAATTCACAAATAATTATTTACTTTTATTTTAGTTTAAATCCATCCAGCCTCCCTAACCTTGGGAGATCTGGGCTGGCCGCAGGGCAGGCAGGAATGCAGGAGGGCAGGCAAGGGGGACAGGTGGGTTCGCAAAATAGGCGGCGAGGGAGCTGTGATCTTCCTGTGCAGCTCCCTCACGCACCGCTTAGTGATGCTGGGCAACGGAGTGACATCATATTCCATCTCCCGGCATCACTGGGAGACTGAATATGGGGAGCTGAGCAGGAAGAGCTCACAGATCAGCGCTCCCTCGCTGCCAACCTGTAACAGAAACTGTGTGGGCACTCCAGGAGGGGGGGGCTGAAGGTTTTAAGGGTGGCTGGATAGCCAGACGGCCAGCTCTTGGGTCCCCATGAGTCAAGGCTATCAAAATATTTGCCAGGGCACTTGGGGGGGACGACATTTTTTGCTGCCCCCTGGAAAGTACCGCCCAAGGCAAATGCCTTGTTAGCCTTGTGCTAAATACAGCGCTGATTGTGCTGTTAGTATACAAAAGCACCCATGGACTATTGGCTTAAATGGATACTGTATGCACCAAAACAACTTTAGTACCTGCAGACTCACTGCTCAATTTTCTGCTATTTAGGAGTTAAATCACTTAACTTCTACATGGTGTTCTACAGCTCTAGTCACACCTCCTTGCATGTGATCTAAATAGCCTTTCTAAACAATTCCTGTAAAGTGATCTAATGCTTAGACGTCTTTTATTGACTAAACGCCATTGACTTCATCAAGCTGAAGTTGTTTTGATGCCTATAGTATCAAATTAATTTGTGATAATGTCCATTCTGCGTTGGTGATGTTGGGATCGAATCATGTGACTTCACTGCTACCAATTTAAAAAAAACTTGCCCGGGAATCTCTTCTATCTCATGTCTTCATTTACTGTTTCTCACCTCACATGTCCTATCCTAATCACATACTTCTTTGAAGTTCCAAAGCAGAACAAAATCACATTAATCCATTGAAATTTAATCTTTCACACCCACCTTGAAGCATAAAGAAAACAAAGACTGCTTGGTGATGTCATAGAATGGATTAGATGAATTATACGGAGGCATCCCGCTCTCGGTTGTTAAAAAGATGAACAATATATGGACAATATTGATGAACAATATATGGCATATGACACATGGTCATGACTTATGTAACAAAACTATAGCTAAAGAAACCATGTGTGGAAAAGCTATGTAGACCATTACTGCTTACATAGGAATTAAGAGGTTTATGTCAGGATTATAGTTGATCTGGACACAGACTTGTATCACACCTAAAGACGAAGGATAACGTCTAACCGGAACTTAGAATGGCCGGACCTAACGTACTCGAGAATAGTCAAAATACTTTCCGAAGTCAGGGACACAGAATGAGACGCAACAATGAGGAAAGCCAGAAGTCAAGGATACCCGAAATCAGGGAAGTCAAAACAAAGCCAAAGTCAAATACCAGAAAAAACACGATCAGGAACACACTCTCGGATAATCAGCTAGTGGAAACCACGACAGGGCACTGGCAAAAAGGTAATTTGTGTTTAAATAACCCTCTTAAGGCTGTAATTGACTGTCTCCGAACTCTGACCCCAAAACGTGCATGCACGTCAATGACGTGACGTCGCACGAACATTGGCGCCATCTTTAATGTGGGCGAAGATAAGTTTATTATAAAATCCTGAACTGCAGCGGCCGGCGTTCCTAAGAACATCGCACCCGCTGGGGACCAGAATGGAGGGACACTGGGCAGCTGCCCACCATGACCAGGGTAAGTTCGAAACCTTTCTGTCAGCGTGGCTGTCTAGTTTATGTGCAGCCACGCCGACAGAAGAGCCGAGAGCCGTGACAGTTTGGTAGCAAATTGGTGCTGCTAATCAAATGCCCTAGATTAATTGATCATTAAGTGTGACCATTTCTATAAAAAGCCAAGGTTTTAGCAGATTGCTGGTCTGGAGCATTTAGGTGTGTGTTAACACAATTCCAAAGAGGACAGAGATCAGCAATGATCTTAGAAAAGCAAGTGTTGCTGCCTATCAAACTGGGAAGAATGTTAAGGCCATTTCTAAACAAGTTAAAGACTATCATTCTCCCATGAGAATGATTATTTAAAAGTGGAAAACATTCAAGACAGTTGCCAATCTTCCCAGGAGTGGATGAACTAGCAAATTCAACCCAAAGCCAGACCATGCAATGCTCAGAGAAAGTGCAAAAACAAGCAAACCAAGAATTACATCTCAGATTCTACAGGCATCAGGTACCATATTATTTTTTTTACTGTTGCAGAAGAAGAGTCATGGGGGGAGGATGGAAAGAGAATGAAAACCTGATGATTTAATTGATAAATTTAACTTTCCTAAAGAAGTGTGTTTTCAAAGATTTTTTGTAGGAGTGGAGACTGGATGATAGTCTAACAGGGACGGAAGTCTTGAAGGCGAGCATCAGATGTGGGAGTACGGTTGGAGCAAGGACTTGTAAGAAAGCACCAGAGTCTTAAATTGAGCCCTATATCTTACTGGAAGCCAATGTAGGGACTGACAGAGGGGGAGGTGTGGGCAGATAGGAAAATAAGCCTTGCCGCCACATTCATTATAGATTGCAGCACATACTGATACACACACTGACACATACAGATACACACCACACACATACCCTGTCAGGCATACATAAACACACACGCTGACCCATACAGATACACATACACTGACAGACATACAGATATACACACACACACATACTGATAGACATACAGATACACACACGCACACATACAAGTCACAATTTTAGCCACTTTCTTACCTTGTAGGTGCTGGAGGGTGGCTTCCATGGCTGGGGCTTATGGGTATAAGGGTTCTGCTCCTCCCCCTACCTCTCGTGGCTCTCCTCGCAGCTCATGACTTCCCCTCCCGCACCGCAGTTTTTATTGGAGCTCAGCTCCCAGCACTCCCAGAACATCAGAAGGGGTCCAGTCGTGCTATTAAAGCACAACGCATGACTGGGCCCCTTGTGGCACATGTCCATCGGGTGGCCTTGAGTGTATGGGCTAACAAATGGACCTGTACCTTTGCAGTTCCCAATCCGCCCACTGCCACCATAACGGATTTTTTTTTACGCCTGACCCCAGGGGCACTGAATTGTACCCCTGGGGGTACACGTACCATGGGTTGGGTACCCCTGCTCTAGAGAAAAGTACTGGCACAATCTTACTTTCTGAAAGGTGCAGCCTGTGCACTAAATATACATCAGGATGTATATCACTGTTATTTTTGTTTATGGTTTTTCATATATTTACTGTGTTCAGGTCACAGGCACACAGTTATGTAGGTTAGCCGGTCAATCACCTTCTAACCATTTTTATTGAGGATGGGAGCATGGATTACACCTTCAAATGCAATGGGGGTGACATTACAGGGCAAGACAATTAGTATCCCTGTAAGTATCTAGAAGAAAGAGTGATATATTTATTTCAATAGACTGATGGTAAATATTCGTAAAAATATAGAAAATGTGTATAAATTGCAAAGCTCGCCAGTAAATATATGTATATAATTAAAACTGTCATATATTTTAAATATATAAGCATGCTTAACATGTAATTTTTTTCATTTTAGAAATTGTAAGGGCACCCCAGGTATAGAAGGGGTTAACGCCGCCAAAGATGTCCCCTTCCCGAATACAAGTCAGCTACCGAATACTCCTAAACACCGAATAGGAAAACAAACAAATAATACCCCCCAAGTACGAGGTAAGGCTCTGTATTGAGGGTTAAGCAGGAATCTCAGCAGTCTGAGGGTTTATTGTCTTATTTGCAACTTTTCCCACAAGGTTACCAACCACATGGTTTTGTGGAACAGGCAATCAAACACAATACAATACAGTCAGACACTGTAAGGACACACAAACCCTCCCCTCTGCCTGTTATATAATTACTGAACACAATGGGTTAACTTAATTATCACAGGCATGAAAATATACAGTTTCATACAATATTTATAACTCCCCAAATATACATACAATCTCCATATTCTGAATCAGCATACTCCATATACAAACATTCAAAAAAATCATACAATTCCCTCCAGTGGTTTTAAAGTTAGGTGGAAGTTCTATTTGACCGACTGCAAGCATGGCTTTCCTGCCCAAAAGAGTTCCATAGATTTGGGCTGTTAAGTAACTGTAGTAAACTCAATTATCTCCAGGTACAGAAAATATCACCAAGTTACAACTGAAACAAGACACATTAAAATACATAACTAATTCTGTAGAACCGAAACCCCACATTTGACATATCCCCAGATTGCTTGGATCTGAGCGATCAATATAGCCGAACAGTGCTCAGATCCCACGAACACAGTCAAATCGCCATGGGGTTAAACAATAGCAAGGGCTGATGAGAGATTGAGGAGGGACAAAGCAGCCAGTTCCAACTGGTCTGGCAGTGTTCCTGGGCCAACGCCCTGCTGGAGAACACTGGGACAGGAAACGGGGGAGGGAAAAGGCACACCTTCCCATGGATTCAAAGGGGCAGAAAAAGTGTCCCAAAATCCAATAAGCCCAAACAGACTTTTTAAATGGCAATACTTCTCGAGGGGCCATAGTCACAAG